AGACAGAGAGAGAGAGAGAGAGAGAGAGAGAGAGAGAGACCCACTTTCATTGGACAGGGGAGGAGAGAAAGAGAGAGAGAGAGAGAGAGAGAGAGAGAGAGAGAGAGAGAGAGAAAGAGAGAGAGAGAAACAGACAGATAGAAACAGAGAGAGCAACAGACAAAAAGAGACAGAGACAGTGAGAGACAGTCACACAGAGACAGACAAATTGAGACACAGACAAACAGACAGACAGGCAGACAGACAGACAAATTGTGACATAGACAAACAGACAGACAGACAGACAGACAGACAGACAGACAGACAGACAGACAGACAGACAAACTGAGACACAGACAAAGAGACAGACAGACAGACAGAAAGACGGACAGACAGACAGACAGAAAGAGAGACAGACAGACAGAGAGACAGACAGACACAGACAGACAGACAGTAGACAGAGAGAAAGAAACAAAGCAAGGCTGAGACAGTGGGAGACAAACAGACAGACAGACACACAAACAAAGAGACGTACAGTCTCTGGACTGTGAGCGCCGGGTCCAGGTTTGACTGTCCCGTCCCCTGGCATCACGTTGCGACTGGTCATGCTGTACTGGGGCGGGGCGTTCTTGTAGATGTTGGGCACGGGGGTCTTGTACGTGCCTGGTCCAGGGGTCTGAGGACATGGAGGAGAGGTCAGGGGTCAGAGGGGACACAGGTCAAGGTCAGGGGTCAGGAATACACATGGTTTAAAGGCACAGTATACGCAGTTTTTACAATCTTAAAGGAGAGCCAAAAAAACAAAACAACGAATATTGTTGTCAAGAAAACAAACTCTTAGCAAACATCCCAAGTCAATATTTTTTAGAATACAATTTTGATAATAACTTCCTTATCATCCTTAATGCGAATGTTTTCTAAGTATACGGGGGGGGAGCTCATTTGTAAAATTGTAAAAACTGCATACACTGTACTTTAAAAAAGGACAACAGCATGAATAAGAATGACTATTGAGATGGCTTTTCATAGGTATGTTTCTAGACCAGAAATGGGCCTCCCACTCCCAGTAAGTTTTTTTTACCTCTCTTCCTTGGTGCTTTCAGAAAGAGACTGACGTCCTGATCTTAGAGGTCTTGGTGGAATGTGCACATGAGGATTTGTTTAACTGTTTTACAAGTGGGATAGGGATATTTTCTCATGGGGGGAGAGATTTTGAATTTTAAAATTTGTCTCTAGTTTTGTGATTATAGTACTCACCCTGGCCAAGTCCTCGTCAAAGCCGCCCTGTTTGCTGCGTCCGACCAGTGTGTAGTTCGGTGCTGACCGTTTGTGCGACTCTGTGGTGCGACCGGTCATGTTGGGCAGAGAGTACACGTTGGGGCCTGGGGAGTATAGAACAAAAAAATCCTTGGTGAGTCAGAGTTTTACATCACTTGCATACACAAATGGGTATACATAAGTGGTGAAGATTACAGGTATTGCTAGAGAGTAGCATACATAGTGAAGAAGGGAGAGAGATATGGATGATAGATGCTTGGTAGGAACAAAGAGGGGAGATAAAAATGACAAATGTTCAACAGGAAAGAAAGAACAAACCACATCAGAGCAACTGTCAATCTGCCATTATCCCTTTCTGTCTCTGTCTCCCTCTGTCTGTCTCTCCCTAGTCACCCCCCCAAAAAAAACCCACAAAAAACAACCAACAAAAAAACTCCTCTTTCCCTTTTTCTTTCACACGACCTTTCCCTCTCTACCCTCTTTCAACTCAACTCCTCCCCCTCCCATCCCTCCCCCTG